TGACATATTAACTATAGGGAAATAAGAATTCACATGACTCTAGGGCGGTGCCTGTGGCTCAAACGAGTAAGGCACCTGCCCCATATGCCGGGGGTGGCGGGTTCAAACCCAGCCTCGGCCAAAAAAACTGCAAAAAAAAAAAAAAAAAAAAAGAAAAAGAAAAAGAAAAAAAAAAGAAAAGCAGTCAAATGCTTATGTGCAATATGGAATTTGATACTTATATTCAAAATTCATTAAACCCTGAGGAATTATAAGTGCCTGCATTTCAATTGGCTCAATAAGCCACTCATTTATAGTCTCATTAAAAGAAAGGAAAACAGGCAGAGACAGGATGGAGTAGTCTTTTTTTTTTTTTTTTGAATCTTTTGTTTTCCTAAACCACCAAAAATTCTGTTGTTTCTGTTTGCAAACTTACTCTGCTGCTGTTGTCCTACTAACTTAGGTGCCTTTTCTTTGTTACTAAGTCCCTTTGCCTCACTTGATCAGTTCATTCATACCTTCCTGCAGAAAAGCAAAAGTTGATTTATCCTTGCACTGAGTTCCCAGTAGGAGAACTGGCACCACAGCTGAAGGCTATATCACTGGAATCCATCTATCCCTGGCACCACAGCTGAAGGCTGTATCACTGGAATCCTTCTATCCAGTTCACACAGGCTACTGCAGTATTAATTCACTGCAGTCAGGGGGTATCATTGACTGGAAATGACTCTTTTCTGTAAAGGAATGAATACATTTCAGTAGTTGCCAAGTAAAAGGAAGCCCCTGAAGGAGAATCATACTGTATGGCTGTGAAACTCTCTACTACCAAATAGTTCATCTGACCTGTATTTTATTATTCTACCCCATTATGAACAACTAAAAACCAGGAACACCTAGTCTCTTTGCAAGAGCTAACTCACTTTCTAAAAGAGTAGTTGTTTTTCAAATTTTACCCTCTTCAAATTTTTTACCCCCTGCCCATACTTTGGGGAATTCCTCAATCCAAGCCTCTGATAGGTCTCATTTCTTCATAGCTTAAGGTAGGATTAGTCCTAGGTCAAACAGTGAAAGGAAGTTTTATCATCTTGAATCTCTGTCCCATTTCTTGCACCTGCCTGCCTTATGCTCCCAGGTAGTAGTTTTTTCATTAGTCTCCTGCTCCAGATTTGCTATTCCTTCATGAGCTTTATGCTCCACCAGTTACTTCACACTCTCTCATTCTACTTCCTGTCCCCTTTTCTCTTCTCTGCTCTCCTGTCTTCTAAAACTCCCTAGTTAGGACCAGGAAGAAGGCTAATTAAAGTGCAGCTACTTTATCTCTCTAAGTGTCAGTTTCCTCATCAGTGAAAAAGACATTCAATAAAAGACCTGTAATCCAACATGGAATGGATAGGACCTGCTTCTGGAAATTAACAGAAAAAACTGAGGAATTATTAAATAATTTAAACTATATGTCCATGGCTGTGTAGAGATTTAATCTAAGAAATAAGTTTTATAAAGCCTGTCTGTATTTTGGGGAAAATTTTTACCAGGAATATCATGTACCGTATTTTATTTGTAAATGCATATAACTCATTTATTTCCAGTGTTTAGGGGCAAGAAAATCCAGCTATTATGATAAGCTATTAATAGCAATAATAATAATGACAGCCAATATCTTTAACAGTTATTCTCTATCCTCATTGTTTTAAACACTTCATATACATGTATTTGTTTGTTTAACACTTGCAAAATCTTTATGAGGTAAATAGATATTATGTTAGCTCCTATTGCATTGATGGGGAAACTAGTCCCTTAAGAGGTTAAATGACTTTTCCAGGAACATCTAACTTCTTAAAATTAATTAAAAATTACAGCTATTTTCTTTATTGCTTTGAGTATCAGGAAGCTTAAAACTAAATTTATGAGGGGTTTGCACAGCATTGGTATTTGGTCTAAGCATTTTAAAATTTAATTATTTCCCTTTACATTCCCCTTAATGAACTGATTTGGTTTCTTTTATTCTTCTAAGTTTTTGTGTTTATTGTTTCCTTATTTTCTCTTAGTAAATGCTTCATTTCTCTTGGGAGAGTAAGCAGACTATAAAAGTTTGAGTAAATAGGCCAGGTGTGGTGGCTCAGGCCTCTAATCCCACCACTTGGGAGGCCAAGGCAGGTGGATTTACTGAGCTCATGGGTTTGAGACCAGCCTGAGCGACAGTGAGACCTCATCTTGAAAATTATCCGGGCATTGTGGTGGGTGCCTGTAGTCTCAGTTACATAGGAGGCTGAGGCCAGAGAATCGCTTGAGCCCGAGAGTTTGAGGTTGCTGTAAGCTATGATGCCATGGCACTCCACCAGGGGCAACAAAGTGAGACTCTGTCTCAAAAAAAAAAAAAAGAAAGAAAAAAAGTTTGAGTGAATAAAAGATTGACATATCACCCAGGACCAACTAATAATCTACTAATAGTAAATTAGTAAAGGGTGTGTTTATCAGCTACTAGAGACAGGTAAGATTGGAAAAGAATGGTTAATATAGGAAAGATGTGGATCATAGGGTAAGTCCCATAAAAACCATAAGGGGGCCCTGCGGCCTGGATGTAGGAGGTAGAAAGGATGATAGAAAGGTGATATCTTGCCACTCAAGATAAGCTTTACCCATTTACTCTTGGCTTGGAGTTATCTTTAACTTCTGGGCTAAAAGATTGGATTGACCCTCATTCCCCTGTCCCCAAAAGCACCATGCCTCTTAATTCTCAAGGAACAGCATCTCAAGGAAGGGTGCTATTTTCTTTATTACCCTTTAACCTATATCTCTACATTAGAATTGTAAGCACACAGGAGGGATGTATGTTTAATTTAAAACAAAACCCAACTGAAGACTTATTCCTCCCCATATATTAAAATGCCTTTAGAATTTCAAGAGTGAAATAACCCTGTAAATTTATATTTTTTTTCCTCAGTGCCAGCTTTGGGGTAACCCAGTAGCCTCTATGCAGAAGAAGAAACAGCTTCTTAAACATTTAATAGAAAAATAGAAATAAAAAAACTCATAAATATATATTTGAAAACTTTTAAAATCATGACTGATTTATTGAAATAGTCATTTCTCATCAGGAATGGAAAAACAGCACTGATTTATTTTATATATACATTGTATTCATTCTTAGAAGCCAGATATGCACTTAGTATTAGAGATACTTTCTCTTTTTTTCTTTTTTTTTTTTAAACTTTCTCTGAGTGATAGAGCCGCCATAATGCTGTAATGCTACCACTTTACTCTCAACAAGTTGAAACAAGTCAGGGAAACTGCAAGATAATCAGTATTGATAGAAGATGATTGGTCGTGCAATCAGCAAAGGCTTTCATTTTGTCCCTATCTTTGGAGGATATCATTGACCAATTTTGACAACCTAGTTTGTAGATTACAGTAACTGCTATTTCTTGAGAATTATTTTTGAACTTTACAATATAGGAATAGTTATTTAGAAAAGCAAACCTTCCGTGGCTCTGGAAGCAGAATTTGACATCAGTCAAGTTGGTGTTATGAACCCTGGTTGATTCATGAAGTCCTCCATTACTTTGTCCACCTTTTGATCAAAAGGCAATGTACATATTTTTTCAGATCACTTGAAAACGGAGAGCCTACAATACCATTTGGCAATGACATTTGTTATTATGAATTGATTGTATTTTAGCCTAGTGTTAGAAATATAAAGATGTTTGTTTGCCATTTTTCCTTTACAACATAGCTCAAAAATCTATCTTGCCAACAGTGCATTAAATGTCAGTTCCAATTTTCATAGACTGGGAATGGAAAGTAGGAAAATATGGTATTTGTGAGGAGGACTAGGGAATTGGTATGAAGATAACCACAACTAGTTGTCTATTAAACAATAAGTTACTAAATGAAAAATCTCTTTTAAACAGGGAGTTAATTTCATTAACAAAGTTGCTTCAATAAAAGCATACATTCCCCTAGAAAATTCTGATTCAGTAGACATGGAGTTGTATCCATGTTTTTAAATAAAAGCTCCAAATGATTCTTATGTTCACTAAATTTTGAAGATCACTGTTCTAGAATATAGTATTCTCTATTCTCTGATCTTAGGCTATAGCAGTAACTCTAGAACACAGATCTATGTGGATGCAACTTGCATGTAAATTACAGTTTTTGTTTGTTTTTCTTAAATGTGTGAACTTGTTCTAAGGTGTGCAGTGGCTTATCAGAAAGCTTCTTTCAAACTGTTTTGAAAGACATTTTTCATACAGAAAACTTAAGATTACCTAGGAAGAGAGAATGACCAGGAAGGCTTGTTGTCTCAAGTTCCTGGCCCTTGCTAGGTACCCAATACATATTTGTTGATTGAATATGAAAGTGCCTGGAGCAAGCAATAACTATTGACAGAAAAATTATTTTTGTAGACAAAATTGTACTGTGAAAAATATTAACTAAAAATTGGTTTTCCAATAAAGATGTTGCTGTAATAACTAAGAAGGGGAAACCTTTCTATTTCATAACCAGCCATGACTTTACTTAATACTATCATTTAATAATTGTTTTATCAGAATTTTAAATTTTTCCTCTTCTGTCCTACTTGGATATATGTTCATGTTCCACAAACTTTCCTGTACTCTACTTGGTATGATTTTTGGTGACCAGCAGATAACAGAAAATGGTATGTTTTATTTTAGTGACCAGAGTAGAAGATGAAGGGGCATGTACTCGTGGCCTTTCTCTCTGAATTATGTTGTTTTTGGAAAGGCTTCTCAGATGCTCCATCTGTCTCTGGTACCAGACAGCAGGGCACATGTGGTCTCCTTTCTTGGATCTTTGCTTCAATAGGCCCTATATCAAGTGAAAATATTTGTTTTATTTATGTCAAGAATTCAAATACATATTGTTAATTGGTAGTTGAGTCTATAGAGTTAAAATAGGTTTTTATTTATTTGGTGGGGGATATTGTTTTATATCAGCACATTCAATGAGTTACCAGATTTTTTGTTTACATATATATTTATGTCACAGTAGCACAAAACCTTTTAAAAGTCTAGCATTTTTATAAAAGAGCAGACTAGGCAATTAAGATGTGTTACCATTTGGTATAGGAATATATTCAGTCTAACCACTTAATCATATTACTTTTCCTTTTGAACAGTAGTTTTAATAGTCTGTAGTATGAACTGGCAAACTATGGCCCACAGGCCCCCAGCTGCTGCCTGTTTTTGTAAATAAAGTTTTATTGGAACACAGCCACTCTTATTTGCTTATGTACATGTCAGTGGTTTGTGCTACAGCTGCAGAATTGAGTAGTTGTCACACAGACCATCTGGCCTATAAAACCTGAAATATTTGCTCTCTGAACCTTTACAGAAAAAATTTTATGACCCCAGTACTACAAATAACCAATTTAGTTTGGTGCCTTTGGCCCTTAGTTTTTAAAAATAAACAAAAACTTTTAGTAAGCTTTTGATATTTCTCTAGTACTTTATGGTTTATATATGGCAAGACTACAACCTGTAATTTTCAAGGAACAAGTATAAAAGATTAACCTTGAAATTCATAATAATTTTGATGTAGTAGAGGTTCTATGTGAAAATTACACAAAATACTTATATTTTACCTTGTGGCATTTAGATTTATTCTTTATGGATGGTCAATATTATGAATTAGATTGTTTAATTAAGAGGTAGCATTTTTTACTATATTAATGATGTTTCTTTAGTTGTCTCTGAGACTGAAGTTTTACTGAAAGAGTTGGAGCAAATGCTACAGCAAGTGCTGGAGTCCACAGCAACACCAGATGAATATGAAGAAGGGCATAGAGAAGAAGAAATAAATGCAAGAGAAAAGGTAGTATTGACAATTATTATCAAGCCTAAATAGCAACCTCAAATTTGTTAAATGGCAGAATTTGTTCCTGGTTATACATTTTTAATTATATGGAAAACCATTTACTTGTCTGAAATTTGAGCCCCTGATTATTGTGAGGTGAATAATAAACTAGTAGCCTGTTGGGAAATCAAAAGACATCATTCATATTTGAAAATATTTGTTTAAGAAAAGGAGGTTTTTAAATTTTAGATCTTGGAGGGGCCACAGAGATGGGCCTTGCTGACATTTATAATCAGGAGAAGGGGCCAGGATTACAGCAGCTCACTGAAAAATATATCCTGCCAGGGTCATACACCAGGATAACCTCTATGGGGACAGACCTCATCATTAATATACTGGAGGTAGAATGTTTCATTAAATTAAGTTTCACCATTCATATGTAGATCAATCTTTTTTCTTTTATTTTTGGCTTTCTGTGTCAGACTCAGAAAGGCCATATATGCTTATTTCATTCATTGTTCTGCAAGTAAAATGAAGGTTTGCAGTAAAGGCCCATGTCATTAATACAGAGTAGTAATGGGATAAGTATAAGAAAAACTAGTCATAGAATAGATATTTCTTCAAAGTCATACAACTGTGCCCTAACTAGAAAGAAAATGGCAGTAAAGAGTTATGTGTGTCCTTAAAGTTTTATTCATTCATTCATTCATTCATTTAGACATATGGGGTGCCTGGAGTTATGAAAGCACATCGACACTGACATTGGAATATAATGCCTGTGTCCCAATCTTGGTCCTGCTGATAATGACTTGTATAATTTGGCAAAGTTGCATATGATCTGTCTCAGAATGATTGTTTTGAGAATTAAATAATGTAAATCAGGAAAAGTATTTTGCATAGAAAAGGACAGAATTGACAATGGCAGTTGCTAGAGGAAATAAGTCCTAAGATTTTCTGACTTTGTCTCTCTTTTCCCACATTTACACTCTGAGCAACTACCTATGACTAAGTCTGTCTATTCTTAGATATAGAAAAGGATATACTTTTAAATGGATAAAGTGTTTACACACTTACACTGCCCAATTGCATAATTTTATTGGGAACATCAACAAAAATAATGATGATTCTTAAATATTTCTTTTGCTGAGTTAGAAATTAAGAAAAAAATACATAGAATTTACCATTAGGGAGATGAGTATATTAAAATAAATTAATATTAAAAATTCCAATTGAGTTAAAAAGTATGATAGTTTTCTTAATTAGCACCAGCAATACTGACTTTTACCTGAATATGGATGGGTTATAAATGCCATTTTTCCAAATACAGTTCCTTTCTAAAAAGATTTATTTTATGTATAGGGGTCTTATATTCTGTAGAACAAGATCTATAGATTGGTGATAATATCTTATATACATATAAGTAATATTAAAATTATTTTTTTCTAGGAAATGTGTGGGTTTTTTGAACACCATATGGTTTTGTGCAGTGTTTTTTCAATGTTAACAGTTTGTCTTTTCAAAAGTACAGCCAGGTTGATTTTTAAGATGATGTCCTGGAGCTTTTACAGCCACAGAATTGGCTTCTATTTTGCCATTATAACCAGTAACTTGACAGACTAGAAAATTACTTCTGATTTTTATTTCTTAAAATAAAATACAGTGTTTTAAGCCATAACTAGGCAGAAGCTTGCTTTTTGTTTTAAATTCTTGTTTTCTTTATGCTTTCAAAAGGCACTTAGGAATTATAAAAATTAACCACTTTAAATTGCTGGCAGGCAGGTGAGTGCTTCCTGCTGACTGATTCATAAGCCACTCTGCACACTGAGCTTTGTAAGTCTGGCATTACAAGGTTCATGATATTTAGGACCTTGCTCACTTTTAAATGAGGAAAATAGCAATTGAATCAAATATCAAAGCTGGAACAATTTCCAGTTTTAAAGTAAAGAAATTATCACCTCTGGTGATATATATTTATTTATCTTTGGTTATTAGAAAAAGTTAATATGGTTTCCAAAGCCAATTCCACCTAAAACTGGAGATATGTTTTATCTTTAGAAGAAAGTGTCTTCCTATATAAGCTAAACATGCCAAAAACAGCCACTTGATAATTTTAAAGTCTGAGCATGTTGACTCTCTGAGCAGATATTGTATGAGCTATTTTCAAAGTTGTAAATTCAATGATGTTTCACATTCATTTCACCTACGAGGTTTCAATTTGATTACTCTCAAGTATTTACACCAATGGATGAGAGTAACAATGTGGAAAAAAAAAACATACACACATGGATAATCAAAACTCATTTCTATTTATCATTGAAATGTTTTGTGAGATTATTTTCCTCGGTAGAGTCACCTTCCTATTTATATTCTCCTTTAGCTAATATTAACAATGGATGACAAGCCCTGATTTGGCAAGCAATGGGGGGAAATAAATTTTAGATTTTGATAAATCCACTTGAATAATTCACTGAATGCATAATCCATATATACAAAAGATAGAGTTCACTGAATAATTATTTGTATTTAAAAGTACATGTTTGATATATGAAAATTCTTATATGAACTACATGTATATTTTTTTCCCTTGAATTACATAGGAAGTTAGCCCTACCTTTAATGAAATTTGAAATTATAATTCCCATATATGTGTGTGTCTGTATCTGTGTGTGTGTGTGTGTGCATGCATTACTTTTATCAATGTTCTTTCCCACTAAGCTAGAGAAAACTATTACTATTTGTAAGTAATGCAGATGCTTTTGAGAAGATGACCACAGAAAATGTGTTGTATTCCCTACAACAGTTTTGTGTTGTATTCCCTATAACAATAATGTAAAAATAAACCAATGTAGAAAACACACAGAGAATTAAATGGATCATGTTTTCCCAAAGCATAAAATTAAAACTAAAATTATATAATGTTGAGGAATAAAGATAGGACCTAAATAATAACTTATTCCTGTACAAACACACTCACTACATATTATGCTATCTATGGTAATCATTATTTGAATATCACAATAACAGAAAACTTTGCATAACTGATGTGGCTTAAGAAATTACAGATTGCTTTATGTTTTGTTCAAATAATCTAGTAAATCTGATATCATTCTTATTAATTATGTGGTTGTTTTGCAGTTATCTAAATGCAACCCTGAAGGTCCTGCAGGCAGTCTGTTTGAGAATCACTATGAAGAGGACTATCTTGTAATTGATGGGATAAAATTAAAAGCTGGAGAATGTATTGATAATATAACTAACAAGTTTAAAGAAATAGATGCTTTGATGTCTGAATTTTAGGGCATTGTACATATTTTCAGAAGTTTCTTATGAAAACATTGGTATTTTCATATTTTTCCCAAAATCAAAATCTTAAAAATGTTTAGTCAAATAGTTGTATGTTACACCAAAATTGATATTTGTAATAACTTTCTACTTTATGTTTTGAGAACGTCCATGGTTTGGGGAGCCAGTCAAATGGTATTTAAGTTAATGATAAAAATTTAGAATTAAAAACCTCTGATATTGGTATTTGTATATTTTTCCCTGTTTGCCTTAATTATAAACTGGTTTATGAAATTTACCTTAAAACACAAGCTTGAACAATGATTATTTAGGCTCTTCATTCAAGAATAGCTGACTGTTAAAATGGCTACCCAAGCTATTATAATCCTTAGAGATAATTCAAATATAATATACTTAGAGAATGTGTAATTCTAGTAGAATTAAACATTTATAAAATAAAAGGAAATAATTTTTAAACTTTATGTTTAAAAGAGTTGAAAATTTTCTTAAAAACAAAAATGTCATTTGCTTTATATATTTGAAACAATCCTTTCAACCATGGTTCCCCCATGGGTGCTGGCTACTTAACAAAGTCCCTGAGAGACTTTGGAAGATAAGAATGCTGGATACTTCCCCTACTGAATCAGTATGTCTGGAAGTATCATCTGGAGGATGGAAAGATGTACCATATTTTGCCATGTATAATGTGTACTTTTGCCCCCAAATATTTGAGGAAAAAGTAAGGGTATACATTATACATGAGTGGTCCTAATTCCATATCTACATAATTTTTTTTTAATGTTTAGGGTTCATTGAGGGTACAGAGAATTAGGTTGCACTGATTGTATTTGTTAGGTAAAGTCCCTTTCATAATTGTATCCTACCCCCAAGAGGTGGACCATACACTGTGTGGCACACATGTCCGTCTTCCCCTTTCCCCACTCCCTCACTCCTCTACCCCCTGCCTTATATTAGATCATCTATTACCTTCATATTAGAATTGAGTACACTGGATTCTTGCTTCTCCATTCTTATGATGCTTTACTAAGCAGAAGGTGTTCCACCTCCATCCAGGTTAATACAAAAGATGTAAAGTCACCATCTTTTTAATGGCTGAATAGTTAATCCATTCCTGAGTTGGTGGGCATTTGGGTTGTTTCCACATTTTGGCACTTGTAAATTGAGCTTCTATAAACAGTCCTAGTGCAAATGTCCTTATGATAAAAAGATTTTTTTTTTCTTTTGAATAGATGTCTAGTGATGGGATTGATTGCAGAATCAAATGGGAGGTCTAATTTGAGTTCTGTGAGGATTCTCTATACTTCTTTCCAAAAGGGTTGTATTAGTTTGCAGTCCCACTAGCAGTGTAAAAGTGTTCCCTTCTCTCTACATCCATGCCAGCATCTGAAGCTTTGAGATTTGTGACGTTGATCATTCTCACTGGGGTTAGATGATATCTCAGAGTAGTTTTGATTTGCATTTCTCTAATAATTAGAGACAATGAGCATTTTTTCAAATGTTTCTTAGCCATTTGTCTGTCTTCTTTAGAGAAGGTTCTATTCATGTCTCTTACTACATAAATGTTTTAAATTCTTTTATTTATGCTTATGTTAAAAGTATAACCCTAGAAAGCAATAATAATGTCCACATGTAAAATAATATATTGGAATATGATAATGGGTTTTGTTGAACTTATGTTGAACTAGCAACAAAAGCATTTTTGGCCAATGAAGAGTGACATATTTTTCTTTGTACATTTTAGGTGGGAGCTAGCAATCTAGCTGATATACCTGATATTTTTATTAAAATTATTGGAAAATCCCTTGGGAAAATGTCAAAATAGTTTTTGTACAATCCAAACTTTAAGTTTTGAATTTGGATTAAAAAATTATAATGAAAAAATCTGCAAGTTTGGGTGGAAAAGTTGAGTTCAGCAAAATACAGTAATTACAAAACACGTAGAAAGAAATTAAACATAATCACTATAAAATATCCAACAATATAGAAAAATAAAAAGTCCATCATTCCTCAGGTATTTCCATGAACAGTTTCAGGAGTATCCTTTTCTTGTGCTCCGTATGTCAAACCTGAGGCATTGATACCTTTTTCTAGTTTCAGTTTGGGCTTTCTTTATGCCTGTTTCTGTCTGGGTGCCTGAGTGCACAGTAAAAGAAAACCAAAGTTTGAGGAGAGAAAAAAATGATAACATCTGTGACTTGTTCTTAGATGAATTAGCTGGAGTGATATGTGATGGTGAGAAGAAGGCATAGCAGCTCAGGAGGGTCATGTACATAGACCGAGGAGCTTATAATATATCCTGAAAACTGTAGGGACTAACAAAACTAACAATTTAAAGTAGTGGAATCCTTTTTATATTTCAGGAAGATTACACTAGCCACTGCATGGAGACTGGAGTGAGAGTGAGTAACCCTGGAAGAAGGGGACCAGTTAGGAGTCTACTTCAGTTCTCTTGTGGGACTATGAGAGCCTGCATTGTAGTGTTCTATGCTTGCAAATAGAAATACTGGGTCTTTCCAACCACTTATTTGTTTCTTGGTATGAGCTTTCAAAGTGGCAAGCAGCATAATCAAATGAAAGGGTAGACAGAAAGAGAAGAAAATGATTTCTAAGAAAAATTTAGAAAGAATGAACTATTTTCTTTCTTTTTTTTTTTAATAATCACCCAACTTTGAACTATTTTCTTTTAAGTGTATATAGTACTGCTGGAAAGAGATATGCTCAAAAGATGAAAGACTAGTTTGCAAGTAGAATTTAGAGGATTTATCAAGAGCCTAGAAGTTTCTGGGTTAGAAAATAAAATTATTTCTTACATTCAACATCTCCAGCCAGAAAAAGATTCTCAAGTTAAGATATAGCCTAAGGACAAAGCTCTAGTCAAGGGCATAGTTGTTAAATTACACTAAGAGGGACACATGCCAGATCCAGGTGGCTTGCAAAAAAACATGGCCTCAGGCTAAAGACCCAATCAGAGGTGTGGGTATACCTGCAAAATATTATAAGGTGACTTTGAGTAGATCTTTCAGCTTTAAAAACTTCAAGGCATGGTACTATAGCCCACCTGATGTGCCCCTAAATACTAGTAATTTGGAGAGAGAAATATCTCTTAGAAAAAATTATGATTTGGACATATTGAATGAACTAGAACAAACTGCATTAAAAAACAGCTAAGTTGTAGAGAGAGCAATATTGTCAAAGTACTGCCAGCCTGAAGTAAAAAAGAATCCTCTCGGTGTCCTCAATATTTTTTCAGGTGGGAAACAAGCTTAGAAAACTTCTCAGCCACTAAAGAAAGAAGTAAATTTCAATATCCTCTTCAGAGGCAGGTGAAGAAGATGATGGAATGGATGTCTCAGAGGATAGAGCCAGAAAGTTAGACCAGGGGTCTGCCCCTCCTACCAAATCCAACCTCAGCCTTCCCTTAGTAAACAGAGCCAAGGTCTAAGCAAGAAACTTTCTCTACTCCAATGGCAGAGGAACTTGACTAATTTTCCTACAGGGATTTCAGAATTGCTAAGGACCAATCTTCTTCTTTTTGAATGGAATTGTTTACTGTCTTTATCTTGTCCCTATTATACCACTATATAGTGTGTAAGGTTGTGTGTGAGGAGAAGCAATTTGTCTTTTTTATTTTTAGGTACAGTTGAAGTCTGGACCTGGTGCAGATCATGAGTCTAAATTTTTAGCCTAATGCCATGATGGGTAAGACTTCTGTGTGTCCATTAATGAGGATGGAATGTTTTTCATTAGAGAAATGAGAATAATGTAGACAAGAGGACTAAAGTAGTTGATTGAATTACCAGTTCGACTTATTTGTGTCTTCCTCCATTATATCCTTATCATGGCCCTATCATGGATATAGTCTACTTCCTTGCCTTTTAAACATGATCTAGGCCTCTTGCTTTGATAAATGAAATGGGACAGAAGTGATTGTACCAATCCTGAGTCTGGACCGTAAGAAACCTTGAATGTTTCTGCTTTACTTTGTACCGCTGTCATTGCCTTGAGAAAAACATGACTCAGTAAGCCCCGTGGTTTTGGGAAGATGAAACCTAGACCCACAAACCTACAGAATAAAGCTGAGCTTCCCTGGTCAACATATAGATCTATAAAACAAAGGATTATTATTTTAAGCCACTTAAGTTTGAGGGTAGTTTATTACACAGCACTATTATGGCAATAATTATTTCATACAATTGACTTTTTGGTCCCAGCAACAATTATACAGACCACCTTTGATGGCAACTTTCCATCTGTACTGGGCTCATGGGGTTTTCTATTCCTAGAGTAGTAGTACTGTCAAAATAGTTCTGTCTCCTGGGTTAGACTCTGAGTGCTAGCCTGAGGCCTCCTGCCTAGTGCCCTTCCAAATTTTATCTGGATCTGGCCCAAACTGACCCATAAACTGGTGAGGCTAAGCCCAGTCTCTGCCTAGCCTACCATGGTGTGTTTTATTATAAATTGCCTCATATTGCTTTATCAAGGTGGCAGCATGTGTATAAATAGTATAGGACACCAACACATTACTGAAGTTTCATTGAGTAGGTCACTTCTATTAAAGAGTTTTAAATTCTTCACATAGAGTAAAGAGTGGAGATATGCCCATAATGGTGTTGTCCGGGTCCTGCCCCCAGAGCAGTGTCTGCTGAGACCTGTGAAAACTAGCCATGATCAACTGAAGAAATATGGAGTTAGAAACAACCGTAAAGAAAGACAAGAGACATAGAGTAGAATTAAAAGTGGGAGCTCCTGGGACCATTGCTTGTGGTGGGATTCCAGCAATGGGCAAAAGTGTTTGCTCCACTCTGATTTTATTGAAGTCTATTTGCCCAGAGGGTAAGATAAGGGAGGGAACAAAGATATCAGCAGTTTCTCTGATCCTATCAGCTCCTATTGTTATTAATATTAACCTAAGGGTAGCCTTCTAAAATCTGAGCCTTGTATTGGGAAAGCCTCCTGCTTGAAGATCACACTCACAGATTTCTAGGGATGTGTTG